GGGCAAATTCTACCAAAAGAATTTAGCATAACTCTTCCCAAACTTTGGAGTGGGATCATAAGCCCAATGCTTTACTGAGATAGCATGTCAAATACTAGTGTATTTGGTTGGAGCTTTCTTTCATTATCTTCAACTCCACCTTAAGGACATTCTCATAATTTGGACCATGCCATTCCCAAATTTGCTAAGTATCTGTATATACTAGCTCATACTCAAATAATATTTCAGGAACCACTATAAATCTAATTTATAAATCATCTTTATCATAATATAAATATTATTATATTTTAATTATATTATTTTTTCCTAATTTTAGTACTGTAGAAAATTGACATATGTGAGTACAAGTGAAATTTTTAGGGTAATTAGATGTCTGTTTTACAAACCGATTTCATCAAAGTTTTTTAGACAAGCTTAGTTAATTTATGAATATTTTTCTATAGTTTTTAGAGCCCCATATTTGAATATATAAAAGAATTTATATGAATTTTATGCTGAAAATTAAATAAATTGCATAATTAACTATATATCCTCTTATTATTTTATTAAAAAATATCTTTCTCCGCTCATAGAATTCATTAAAGCCCTTTTTCCCTATTCATTTAGCTTAACAGAAACTAGAAACAAAAATTAAGGGAAAAAGATAGGAGATAGAAAAAAATTAGGGTTTGGAGGTCGTAGAGTGAATTTTGCTAGTTGGTCGAGTTAGAAAAATTGCTTGTTTCAAGGTAGGCAAACATTATCATATCTCTGATTTCAGTGATTTTATGTATTTTGCATTTATGAATTTTAATTTGTTAATAATGTACAAAGGTTATAATATCTCGATTTTTAGCAAATTTTTACCGTGTAACTTTTAGTATGTTATAATTTTAATCATTATGCACATATTTACATGATTATATTGAATTTTCATTGAGTATTTTTGTATTTTGAGGAAAATATCATAATTTGGGTAATTTGGATGAATTTAGAAATTTTATAAATAATTATTGAACTTTTTTCCTATGAGTAAATGACATATCTACTTGTTATAATCCAACTATTACAGGTACATACATGTTAAAAAGAGTACACTGTATTTTCTTATGAATTTTATTAATTTTGGTTCATACGTAAATTTTACATATACTAATGTGATGCGGTGAGTGTGACATTAGATATTTATTATGTTATATATTTTGCAAAATGGACATAAGAAAGGCTAGTTAGAAATGATTAACTAATTCAGATTGGTTGGAGATATGTTATCCTGTACTGGAGAGTGGATCGACGAGTTTTTATTTAAAACAAAGTTTATGGTGTAATCCTACATGATATGAAAAATGAGACAAAAGGAGATATATTGATATGATATGATGCATCGACTCAAATAACGACTTTTGATATGAAAGCTACATGACATATATGACTTGTGATTGAGACTGATTCCTATAGGGTTGACCCACCAAATAAAATATTGATTATGGACTCATCAATCATATCATTCAATAAATCATAAATTCAATAAGATAACTCGTTCACAAATATATGCATGTCTAAAGCGGACTGGCTTACTAGAGGGGAAGATGATTTGGGTTTCTTGTTTGCTAGGATCAAAGCTAGGAAATCTTATTGTCGTATTAATGAGATTTCTACTATGGATGGGCATTTTTCGGATCCCGGGAGTATTGCCACTGCGGCTGTGAGTTACTTTCAGCAATTGTATAATAATCCCAGTGCCCCTTCCCTAGGAAACTCCTCTCTTCCCATTGGGCAGACTAGTCCTCTCACTTGGTGGCTCCCCTTACTGTCCCTGTTTCTGATTTGGAAATACAAAATCTGGTTTTTTCTGCCTCTAATTCTAAGGCTCCGGGTCCGGATGGGTTCACTTTCGAATTTTATAAGGAATCCTGGAATCTTATTGGGAACCAAGTTTTCAAAGCCATTAAACACTTCTTTTCTACTGGTTTCCTTCCGAGGTGTGCTAAGGCCACTGCTATTGCATTAATTCCTAAGGGGTCTCATGCTAACAATATCCTTGACTTCAGGCCTATCTCGCTATGCAATGTGTTTTACAAAATAATTGCCAATATTCTTTCAAATCGGATGAAGGATGTTATGCCTCATATCATTCACGCTAGCCAAACTGGCTTTATTAAGCAGAGAATATCTTCTGATAATATTGTGCTTGCCTCTGAATTATTGAGTGATTTCAACAACACTGGGGGGAAAAAGTATCTTTGTGCTAAATTAGACATTAGGAAAGCTTTTGACACCGTTTCCCGGAGCTTTCTTTTGCACAGGCTTGCTGAGAAAGGTTTTCCACCGTTGTTTGTAGACTGGATTATAGGGTGTATTGAGGATGTTTACTTCTCTGTTGTCATAAATGGGTGGCTGGAGGGTTTTTTTCCTTCTACCTCTGGCCTTCGGTAAGGCTGTCCTTTATCCCCATTGCTGTTCTCGGTGGTCATGGATGCTTTCTCTTGTGCCCTCATCAATACTAGCAACTTTACTGGAATTTCTTGGGATGGTTTCTCGGTTAACCATCTCCTTTATGCTGATGACATACTTGTTTTTTGGGAGGCTTCTATAGCTAATGCTACCACCCTTAATAATGTTTTATCTTCCTTTGCTATGAATACTGGGTTGGCTGTTAACAACTCAAAATGCTCTATTTTGTTTTCCAGCCACACTCCTTTAGCTAATGATATCACCCAGCTGCTTGGCTTCTCTCCCACTGCCAACTCCCTTACTTACCTGGGGCTCCCCATTTCTTCTAAAAAGCTTAAAAGCCGCTCACTTCCAACCACTACTGAGTAGGATTTCTACTCTACTTGATGGTTGGAAAGTAAAATTTTTGTCTTTTGCAAGTAGGATCCAGTTCTTGAAATTTACTATTATGAACACGATTGCATACTGGATAAGAGGAGCTGTAATACCTAAAGGGATTTACAAATTCATTGAGAAAATTTGTGCCAGGTTCCTGTTTCATGGGTCTCATCAAGGCAAGAAGCTCCATCTTGTGGCTTGCCATAAAAACTGCCTTCCCAAATATCTGGGGGGGCTCGGGCTGCCCTCTATTGCTTCTCTTACTTTTGCTTTTGGCTGTTCTTTTCTCTGGAGATTTTATAATTCAAATTCTATGGCAGCTGGATGGTTTAGGCACAAATATCTTTCCCCTTGGAAGCCTTTTGGTTCCAAGGCTTCTAAATATTGGAAGGTTATTTCTCTCACTACTCATAGGATTAAGGATAAGCTGATTTTTAGTGTTACTAAGGAAAATTGTAACCTTTCTATGCTTTGGGATCCTTGGTGTCAAGGAATTGTTGTGAGATATTTTGCTGCCTGGGGATTGCGTGCCGTATTTCTGTTACTCCCATTTTGGATCTGATACTCCCCCAAGTCTCCTGGATTGGCTCTGTTAACCCGACTTTTAAGACCTTTCACCTGCAGTTTTTTAATGGGTATAATGAAGCTCCTTGGTTTAAATTCATTTGGCACAAACACTACGCACTGAGATTTTCTTCGTATAACTGGCTTGCTCTGATTGATGGGCTTAAAATGGCGGATGTGCTTGCTAGAAGGAACATTTTCATTCCTTCTTTATGCTCTTTTTGCAAGATTGAGGATGAATCGGTGTCACACTGTTTTTTTCAATGTGACTATACTTTTGCACTTCTCTCTGCTCTTATTCCTGCTCTCTGCTCTTTTTGCTTCACCCCACGATAAATCAGGTGTTTGATTATTTTGATAATTTGCAAAACTTGAAAAGTTTTGAGAAAATTTTTTGCTACTTTGTAATATGTTGTTCTCTCTATCATCTTTGGAGAGAACGTAACGAGAGGAGATTTGGGCACACTGGAAATTCTATGGCTGCATTGCTTAAGAAAATTCGTCATGCCATTGTTGCTAGAACTGAAAGCTGGAAACAGATTGATCGGATTAAGCAGACATTTCCCTTCTGCTTTGTGGAATCCTGATTTGTTGTTGCCTTTCTCGAGGTATTGTCTGATGGAATTTTTGGTGGAGATTTTGGTTCTCTACAACCGGACGATGATGAGTAGAACTAACATTTCTCAGAGTATTGGTCTCTCCCCTTGGACGGCTCGCTGGGAGCTTCGGCGTAGCATGGATGGGGGACTTCAATTTGGCACTCCTGCTTTTATAAGTCGGGCTCCTCTGTTATTTTATTGCAAGATTGTTAGTTTTGGGAGTTTTTGGATTCTGATTCTTCTGGTGGGCAACCTGGGGAGAGTTGTTTTTCGTGGTCCCTGTTTTGGTTAAGCTTTTTGCTTAATTTGTTAGTTCTGTATACCTGAGTCCGGTTCTTTTGTTTCCCTCTTCTTTTTAGTTGTTTTTTTTTAGCATTCTTTTTTGACCCCTTGTATTGGGGTATGGTTCTTTTTGTAATGGTTAGTTTTTAATATACGGGCAAATGCCTAAAATTTCCCAAAAAAAAAACAAATATATGCATGTCATTTCAATCATATATCATTCAAAATGTTATGTAATGATATGCTCAATCAAATCTATTTGTCCACTAATATAATTCTCTTTTCTAATCAATAAAATATAAAAAATCAGCTTACATATAAATATAAATAAATTAATCAAATATGTAAATAGCAAAATCTATAATATCCAACTTATATCCCACTCATAATCAATCATATGAAATTCTTCTAATAACCATTGAACTTCCATTAGAATAATAATAATTTTTACAATTAATTCTATTAAAATATAATAGAAGTAAGAAATTGCTGTCAAGTTGTTTTAAAGAGAAAATATTTAAGCAATTCATTCATAATTTTTAAAATTTATTTATTTTTCTCATGATAATTTCAATTATTTTTACATATAATTGCATGGAATTATTTCAAATAATCTCTTAATATATATCTACTTCCACAAAAGCACTTATCTAACCCCCATATGCAAATATTATCATTATTAGAAACCAAATGTATATCAAACCAACAAGAAATAAAAATTTCACTTTATAATTTCCAATATCTTTATTTACATTGAATTACATAACGTCTTCCTTCTACAATAAAGATTTTTCTAAAAACAAGATAATTATAAATAACTTAATTAGAAAGCCCCTTATATCTTCATTAATTAATTAAACACCAATAAAAACTCCCAATTAAGCCCTCTAATCACCTCTCAAGCTCTATGGAGCTCATCACCCTTTCCATATTCACAAAGCTATCAGAGACCTCAAGCTTGCTCTTACTCTTCTTCCCAAGCTCCAAATCCTCCATCTCCTCCTCTTCAATGGAGTCATACTCCGACTCCTTCTCATACTTCCTGCTCAAGAAGAGGTAACAGAGCAACGAGAAAGCGACGACAGCGGAGAGAAGCCAACAGAATTCGATGTTGACCAGAGACTTAGCGCGGTGAAGCTCCTCGTCGCTCCGGCAGCGGACAACGTAGTGACCGTCCTCGGCGTTCATGAAGCAGCCCTTGGGGATTAACGCCGGCGTCCACAGAGCGCAGCCCATGACGATGAACCAGATCCCCTGTTTGAATAATTTTAATAATTAAATGAAATTTAACTTAATTCGACTTATAATCAACAATCTTACCTGCAAAGAGATGCTAGTTGACCTAACAAAGGCAATCACAAAGCTGCAGGGGTGGCTAATGCCCATCAAAGTGGTAATGAGAGAAATGGCAATAACGAGCTGAAGAAGCCAATGGTATTGTCCCTCCACCCCTGCATGATCAGTCGAGTGAAGATGAAAAAGCAATAATTGTTGCCCAAATGCTGCCGCTGCGGTGAGATTGGTAAGTTCCTGCTTAGCGGTTGCAGTGGCAGCTCGGTCTAAAGCCATGGCGAAAGCAGCGTGCATGAGTAAAGAAAGGGAGATGGAAGCGTGCTCGAAGTTGTGTAAATGGTAGGAAGGGATAGTGAAGTCGGAGTCAAGGGGTTGGTGGCGTGACGGACCGATGAAGAGCTCCATGGCTATGGAAGCGGAGCTACCGGCGGCGATGAGGAGGAGTTCGAGGAAACGGAGCTTTGGGGCTGGGAACCAAGGGAGGGAACGATAGGTGTTAGGGTGGAGAGAGAAGAGCTTGATGTTGTTGAAGAGATGCCATATTCCGATTAGCAGGAAGCCAATACCAGGAGCTACATGGCCTACCAGAGACCCCATGGAGAATGTGAGAGAGATTTCTTGAGAGGGAGAGATCAGAAAAAAGGGGGATTTTAAGAAGAGAAACTGAGGGAGGGAGATTGAGATACTTTGAAGGGTTGGTGGAGTAAGCTATTTTAAGATGGGTTAGTTTAGTTGGCTGATTGGATTTGATAATTGTATAATTTGGATATTTGAATTTGATGTAAGAGATGATGCTACTAAAAAATAAATATATTTATTATTATTTTTGGGTCTTTTTCATAGGTGTTTATGATTTTATCCATCCCGTGGTTTAAGACTTGGTTTGGGATGACTTTCTTACTGTTTCTTAAAATAAATTTTAATATAAATAATTTAATTTTTAAATTAAAAAGCTGTTTTTAAAAAACAATAAAAAACTATTTCAAACTAAGCCTAATTTATAAAAAATAAGAAAAAATGCAGTCGCTTTAATTAATTAATTATCCATAGAAAAATATCTCACACAATTGAGAAGTGTTAAGGAAATATAAACCTCTTTGACATATAAAAAATAAAGATTGATTAATGAAAATTAATGTTAAAATTATTGTGAATAAATCTAATAATTAAAAAAATCATTTTAATTAAATTTAAATCTGAATATTTTGTATCTTTTTCTCTTTTTTTTTTTCCTCTGGCCACTGACTTCCTCTGATATCCGTACATTTTAAGTGAAAATTGGTTCTTCCTACCAGCAGTAAACCTAGAAATCCGCTTGGCAGTGCAGACGTCTTGGGGCTTCTCTGGTCAAGTAAACGCAACTGCCACACAACTAATAAAACTAATGTGACGCTAACACCGGCTTTGCCGGAAACAAAATTCTGAGGTTTTTTTTTTTTTTTTTTTTTTTAAAGAGTAGGGTATCAAAATAGATTTTTAGATTTGATTTATGTTTAATTCAAAATTAATCCGTCTTCAACTAATTCAATCCTGGCTTGACCCATTGAATTACCGTGTTGATTCAACCGACTCGCTAACCCGAGTTGCAAGCAGGATGAGTGTGAGGTGTGTGGCGCGAGTGGGGGAGGGCAATGCGCGAGCGCGAGCTGCACAACGCAAGCGCAAGTGCCTGGTTCGAGCCTAAGTGTGTGGTGCAAGTGATAACTGCGGGAAATGAGAGTACGACTGTCTGTACAGGTGTGGTACAGTGCAAATGTGCAAGCAGCATGGTAGAAAAGCTAGAGCTTGTGTGGGTGTAGGAACACTGGTTGGTAGACATAACTTGGGTCAAATTCGGATAAAATTCGGGTTAATGGGTTAACCCGAACCAAACTCGATTTTTCCAACAAGTTATAAATTGGAACCCAAATCATATCTATTTGTTAAACGGATCAATCCAAACTCTTTTTTTTTTTTTTTTTTGCGGTGTCTAGTTCAGGTAATATTCTTCCTTCTTTAAATCTCATGTGTTCTTTCTTCCAATTTTCTTTCGTCTGCCGATTTTTCGGTTTTGATGGTTGTGAATCGTTTGAGTGGCCCCATATTTTTGGATTGGAAGCCCAAATCGAGATCCTTTAGGGATGTTTAGTCTATCACTTCGGCTTCGGCGGAGTTTCCTCCAACTAAAATTTCTTCGCGTCATGGATTGCTGACTTTGTTGATTACAGATGAAGAAATGGTTGCTCTTGCGGTGTTTCAGTTTGCGCTGGTTAGGAAATTATCGGGGCATTGTCCACCTCTCGATGCGATTCGAATTTTTTTTTAAACCTAAAACTCTTTGGTGATTTCTCTATCACTTTAATTAATCCGAAAATGTGTTGATTAAAACGACTTAAACTACTGCAGGGCGTTTTCACACCGTTCCTATCTTGTTAGCAATTGTTTTATGAAGCTTTTTAAGTAGACTCCTCATTTTGATGTTAATGTAGAATCCCCTATAATTCCTATATGAGTTTCTTTTCCCACTCTTCGACCACATCTATTCTTCCCCCACATTCTACATGGTTTAGGGTCTGTTTTTGGCCGCCCCTTATGATCGGATAATGCTACCATTAATGACACAAGGCCATCGATTGCTCATTTATTAGTCGAGTTAGATGTCACTAAACATTATCATACTCATGTTTGGCTGGGTTCGGAAACTATGGGTTACATTCAATATGTGGAAATGGAAGATTTTCCTTTTTATTGCTATCACTGTAAAGCTTAGGGGTACTTAAAAGTTGAATGCCCGATTTTGCTTCCTTTGGTTGATGATCCTCCTATTAAGTCAGTAAGTGTGGGGGCTACAACTGATATTTCTTTGCAACCTATTCAGGGTCTTAGTGACCCCCTTGTTAATGTTGTGACTGGGGTGGTGCCTCAAGATGTGGATTGTGATATTCTTGCTAATGTTGTTGATGGTTCTCCTGTGGCTCACAATGAGGGGCATGAGATCGTGCTTGTTCCTCTGGATAATTGTGATAATCATAGCTCTAGTGGTATTATTTGCCCTGTTGGGGGCAGTCCATATTTATCTTCGGGTGTGGTTATGGCTGGTCTTAATGCTGTGGGGGCTATTTCTAACACTTTGGTTTTCTATGATGAGGTTGTGGGTTGTGAGGTGGATAGGGTTATTTGTCAAGCTAACTTAATGGTGGAGAATGAATTGTCAGGTGATGAGTATTCTGCTGATGCACCGATGGTTGATGTTCGGCCACCCTCTCTTGTGATTTCGGGTGGCGTTGATCACCTTGTTGATGTGCCTATTGATATGATTTCACTTAATGCTCTGAATGCACAACTAATTTCTAGATTTGGGACACTTGTTTGGGACAGTCTGATTGACTAGATCAAGTCACTTGCTTCTTCTTGCGGGGTTGAGAATGATTTTGGAGTTCGGCATGCTGAATCTTATCAAGATTTGTATGGGCTTGATGTATGTCGAATCGTTGATAATTCAATTTCTCATGTTGCTAAGCGTTGTAGACGCAAATAGAAAAAATAATGATGGTTGACTTTGGTTGTTGTTGTGAGTTTGTTTCTGGTTCCTTATGGGCTATTTTTGTGGCTTTCATGCAGTAATTATTGGATTGATTGTTTGCTGTTGTGGATGGAGCGTGGTGTTGTGGTTTGCCCTTGGTTTTGTCATGTATCTTTAGGTGTGTGGTTCTTAGCTCTGTTTGGTTTTAAGTGTGCTACGGTTCATTTCCGTGGGTTCTTGTTTGTTGTGTTGGGCTTAATTTGGGTGGCTATTGGCTGTCATGTCTGCTTGTCTCTTTTCTCTATATTTATGTAGGTCTTTGTTATGGCTGTGGCTGTGGCGCTTGGTCCTACTTGGATGTTGTTGTTCTTGTGATGTTTTGGGTCATGATTCTCTTCGCGGGGGTGGCTTTTCTTTAATTTTGGTTTCTTTGTTTGTATTTAGTGGGAACATTAGCTCTTAGGTTTTATTTCGAAGATTGTAATTTTAGCGAGTTTTTGATCCTCTAAGAACTTGTACTATTTTCGTTTATGGAACATGTAGGTCCCAAGAGAGGGTTTAAAAAAAAAATCAACCATAACTCAGATTTTTCATGTTGGGTTATCAGGTCCGGTAAATAATTGACACCAAAGAGTTGACAAAAAATTATTTTAAGAAAAGAGTATATATATATATATATATATATATAATTTAAATAAGGAGCCGCTAAAAAATTTGGCAATTTGTGCTCCACTTCAAGTCTTCAAGTGACCGAATGCTTGCATTGGGCAACTTTGTTGGGGGAGACCGGCCAATGTTTTTAATTTTATTAATATAATATATACTTAAATGTATTGAGATTCATAATTTTAAATAAAAAATTATATAAAATGTTAAAAAAAAATATATCTCGCTATCTTTTATTAAGTTATTGTTTATTATTTTTCTTATAATTTTTCATTCTTTTTAATATTTTATTCTAATAATTGCTTAAATCATAACCATTTTCTCTGTTATAATAAATAATCTGACTCGAGCTTGTAGAATAACGCTTAAGCTTGAGTTTGAACCTGGTTAATTAATCAAGCTCAAATCAGGGGTGAATCCAGCTCGACTCAACTCGTTTACACCCCTATGATCGAGTATGAAAATATTTTTTTTCACAATTCCTTAAAATTTAATCATGCATTTGGGGAATATTACCAACAAAAATTTATTTTACATTCATTTTACTACATTAACTTCTTTTGTATTATGTTGAGCTTTGCTAGGGTTTCGTGATGCCCTAGTCGCCTCTTTGGTTGTTCCCCACTTCCTTTCCCTATTCATACCCTCTGACAAGGCCAGATGTGCTCCTCTTCCTCTCTCCAGTATGACAACCATCCTTAATTCCTTCGAGTTTCCTAGTGTTTGTGTTCAGTTGACTAACAAAGCAACTTACCCTAAGGAAATACCCATTTTAAACTTGTCGGGGAAAACATTAACCTGAGAATCCAATACTAGTGGAAGCCTACCCTATTTAAACATTGTGGTTCTTTAGTTAATCTCGATGCCATAGTCCAACCAAACTGTTTAATGTCATTGTGGAAGAATCTCTTCCTATCATTCCTAATCTCAACTCCCCTACCGAGGGGCCTCTAAACACAACATATCTCACATAACTCCAAGTAGTGTCTAAACCCTATACACACATCCAACAAATAACACATCCTTTAATCCAACATCTCCCAATCCAATGCATCTGACTCTCCTAGATTCTTTGCGGTGAATTTGGGTTCCACTTCCTCAAGTCCCGCACCTAAGCATACTAGGGCCAAGCAACCTGAAAAAGGCCCCCAACACCTCAACAACCCTTCCTCCTATTGCTGCTTATAACATTAGGGGTTTTAGCATCCAAAAAAAAAATTCTACAAAAATTTGGTCCAACAATATGCTCTCGAGATGTTGTGCATTCTTTATAATAGGATTCATGTCTCCACTTTGATGGATCCTTCGTTCTCTGCATCTCACTATATTTTTAACAATGAAATGAGTTGTCATAATTTTGATTATTTCAATTCTGGGAGAATTTAGATAAGTAGAATGAGCCCTAAATTAGTTTTACCCCATGATTCATCTCCAATCAAA